TTCCTTGCCCACAGATTTTACCAGGGCTGGGGCAGGGGTGGGCTCCCTTAAGTTCCTTGAACTGCTGGCTTTGCAAGGATTGCGCAGCGGGCCAGCAGTGGTGGTAGTCCCCCCGTCCCCCAGCAGGCTTAATTTAAAGCCCGGTGGAGCAGGTCAGCCAGTCTGGCTGAGAAGAGCCTCCTCCCTAGGGGAGAGAGGTGGAGGCCATCTCTTCCCAGCCGCTCGCTGCCTCTCTCGCCAAAGAGCGGGCTGTGGTCATGAAAGCCAAAGCCTTCCCGACGACACCAGCGCCGCAGTCTTTGGTTGACCACGTGGATCCTCCTCTCCCTCCTCAGCCCATAGCCTGAGACTGGGAGGATCGACAAGAACACCACCTGTGCCCCCAGACCCTTTAGCCCCGCTCCCAAATCCTTGGAGCGCTCCCAGCCGGGTCATGAGGCACTACAAGCCGTGTCATTGGTGCCCACATGAATAAGGAGCATGGGATAGTGGTCTGTGGGTTTGAGGAGCTTTGGGATCCTCTCCGCAATGTCCCGGATGCGGCCCCCCGGGAAGCAGCAGACTTTCCTGGCTAAGGGGTCAGGGTGGCAGACTGCCCCCTCAGTCCCCCTCAGGAGGGAGTCTCCCACAACAAACACCTTACGTTTTGTCTTGGGGAGAGCAGGGGCGGTAGCTGCAGTTGGGCCCATGTTGCCTGTGGGGGCCGTATCTGCCATAACCTAAGTAATCTGTCCTAGAGCTTAACCACTCTCATAGCTAGAAAGTTCTTCCTAAAATTTAGGAAGATACTGTTGCAAATTAAGTCCATTACTTCTTGCCCTGTCACCTGCAGCCACAAAGAACAATTGATCATCATCGTCTTTAAAACAACCCTTTTTGTACTTGATGATTGCTATCCATCACCCATCAATCTTCTCCTCTTCTGACTAAATAAGTCCAGTACTTTCACCTTCTCCTCATTGGTCATGTTTTCTAGAGAGCTACTATTTTTTCTCTCTCTCCTACGGACTCTTCTACTTGTCCACATCTTTTATCCTGCTCCCTTTGCTTCCCCCTACTCCCACAAAGATTCTTCTCCTAGTCCCCTCTCACCTTGGCTCTGGCTCCTGCCCATGAGGTTTCCATCCTCTTCCCTTCTATTACCTCAAGCCTCTTTCCTTAACCTCTCCCCAAGCCTCTACATTCAGGTTGAGTTACTACTTTTAACTCCTCCTTACAGCCTGTCTCTCTGCAGGGGGAACATTGCAGAGACAGTCCCTCTGGCCTAACTTCTACTGGTTGACAATACAGCAGCCCTAAGTAGGGCAGAAGTGCAGGGAAAAGCCTGCTCAACCCCAGCTGGAGTATGCTTAGTTGCTTTCGGGAGATGGTACATGTGGAAGCTGTTTGGCATGTAGGATCTGTGTGGGGTTGATGTATCTGCACAGAGCATGCAACCTTTGGAGAATGTAAGTGTCAGCTACTTCCCCTTGAAGCAAGGCTTCTGCTACAGGCCCTGTCCTGATCCTGAAATCTTCATATTGAAAAAAATGCCAAAGGAGAGTTTTGCCTGAGAAAAGGCTGCTAGATTGGGTCACTGTACTCTGACAGACTCTCTCTCTGCCACCCACATTTCAGTGTTTTAACATTTCTTCCCCAGCAGCCTGTACATAATTGTGCTCGTCACTTCCTTTTATCATTTTGGTTCTGATACATAGCTGTATTGTTTGAGTTCTTGCTGTGTAAAACCTGAAATCTCTTTCCCATATCGTATACGATTCTGATCTTATCAAAAGCTATCAGTAACTGATGAATGTATTTTATACACGAGAGAATACTATACTCACCATTCCTGAGTTCTCTTTTTGTATGCTCTCTCATTATAACCACTACAGCTGATTCTGAAGCTTTCAGCCGCTTTTTGCTGTGCTGGACCTTTCAACTAGGCAGTCATTTTTAACTTCCATTTTTAGTTTTTAAAAATATTTATAAGTGATTAATCTTACAGTGATGTAGCTGTGATAACCCAGGGATTACATAAGAGGCAAGGACTTTTAGAGGTGATATCTTTAATTGGACAGACTGCATTGTTCAGATAAACTTAGACAAGCTTTTGAATGCAAAGCCAAAGAAAGCCCTGTAGAAGAATGCTCTGCACTGAAAAGCTTATCTAACTTTATCCCTTGTGGTTCAATGAAAGATATCATCCCTCAAAAAATCTTGTTCGTCAAATAATCTTACTGGAAGTTATTCCTAAATAGTTTTAAAAGAATCCCCTCTGTTCTCTTTTTATATACATTTTTGTAGGTGCTGAATGTTAGCGCTCTGCCAACGAAGTCAATTCTGTAGGACACAGGGAGTCTCCTCCATGTACTCCTCCTGCACACAAGTGATAAGCCCTCCGCATGGCACGGGGGCATTTACTGTCTCTATCCCCTTTGTGGGTCTGTGGCATCTTATCTCCAAACATTCAAAACTGGCTTAAAAATGCAAGAATAAAATACTACCAAATGCAAAAATACTACCAAACAAACAATCAAAACCTTGTTCATTTGAGGCTCTTCTCATTGCTTTCTCATTTCCGAGCATTGCAATTACTCTCTGGTCACATTTTCAAGCTTTCACCCACCTTTGGGCCTTTACGAAATACGGAATATTATGAAGCTTGTGATAAGCCCAGGAGCGCTGGCAGCCCGGGGGCTGGCTGGGACCCAGAATTAGGGCCGACTCCTCCCGCGGCGGCCGCTAGGGGCGCCATCATGCCCTAGAACGCCGGCGGC